GAGACCACTGTACATTTTTATGATTATATATTMTAGTTCATCTTCTTAATCAGTACTGTCAATATTCAATGGCTCCAGATTTAAAGCACACCCTTTCAGTCTTCTTTATTGTACCTCTCCATATGTTCTGTTCATTGAAATGAACAGGGACTTTAAATCAGTGGAAGGARTCCCTGCCCATGGCATGGGGACTGGAGCTAGATGATCTTTAAGGTCCCTTTCGACCCAAACCATTCTGTGATTCTGTGAAYTGACCATTAAGCTAAAAAAGGCCAGTGATCATCAAGGTATGAACASTTACAATTCAACTACACTACTCATATGGAGATAAAATGGAGTGCATATGCTACAGCAAGAAGTCTACCAAATACACATGCATGTGATTATAGTCAAGATCTCCCGTTAGGATGTGTCAGAAGTAAGCTTTCTGACTTTTTCATTAATTCCCTTTTTTTTACTTGCAAAATTATAGTTTTTTAATTATATGGTGATCTTGCCCAGAAAGATCCAGCTCAGAATCCTCTGACCAGGATAAACAGTACGTAATTTATTTTATATCTTTATTATTCACTACATGATACTAGCAATTATTTATTGACTCTTAGTCAAATTTTGCTCAAAACAACAGAATTCTGAATTTTTTAATATACTTTTTCCCTAAATAAATAACCAGATATTCAAAGATATTCCTCAATCTCAAAAATCTTAATATTTATAARGAAATTTTATTCTGATTTCCTAAGKTTTTTTTTAGAAGCAGTGAAATATTAATCCACTGATTCTGGATCATTGACACCGCAGTTTACATATATATATTTATTTATATATCTAGTTTGAGTTTTCAGAGTTCTTACTAAATATTTTCCATTCATTGGATTATAGAACTTCAACATTATCACAGAAATAAAATCCACAGACTGGTTCTTTGGGTTATATACTGGACAGATGTTAAATATTTAAAAAATATATTTAAAGGCAAATAGTCTCATTATTTATATAAACCCTTATGGAAGCAAGAACCTACAGTGGTTAAGAGTAAGTTTTCCGGGGTTGGATTGAACCCCCTGGAGAACAAGCTATTGTTCCGAACAGATATTGTATCTGTGGACAATTCTGCAGAATTTCTTATGTCTCCTTCACTGAAGAAATTGAGGACAGCAAAAAAAGTCAGAACAAAGAAGATGAACTGAGGATCCACAAAAGCAAACCTGGGGTTTTGTGTTCAYTCCTCTTGACTGTTGAGTAGACATTTGTTTGTCTACTTCTTTTGATTAAGCTCAGAGAAGAATATCTGGGGCTTTTACTGCAGAAATTCAGTAAGGCTTTTTCAAAGACCAGAGGCGTTACATTTGTCAAGTCATACTCTCACTCTTGCTTGGTACACAGATCAGCTTCCAACACTAACAAATGTCCTACCATATTAGCTGGCTAAATGAGTTGAAACTTAAATTTATCCCAGAAATACACAGCAGGTGACCAACCACTTTCTTAAAGTTTTTTTCMAATATGCACTAGCACAGACTTTTGCTCCTATCTCCACAAAGCATGATTTTTGCACATTTCAATTGTATCTGTTTACAGTTCTTATTCGATTTGCCTTTTTAACTTATTCTGGCAGAGATGTCTCTTAGGTTTTCTCTAATGCCTGACAGAAATTGGAATCTGACTGAAAGCAAAGTGCCTTCTAGGCTCCAGTCAGATTAATCAGGAAGGATCTGCCGAAGTGAAACCTTTCCAAGGACAGGTACAGATCTGTTCTTGAAGCCTCTGGTATCACAGCAATCTACAATCCCAGCTTTGCTGCTGCCCTCCTTGCTCCCTGATATGCCCACAAAAGTTGCTATGACTCTTTTTCAGCTCTCACCAGACAAAAGATTTTGACCGYCTACTTCAACTATATGCCTATGAGAATTTTTTTATCACACTCACAGAAAAACTGCCCTTCATTAGGAAGGATGCCAGCTTCAAACTTTAATTGGACTCGTCAGCTAGACTAACAGTCTGCTCTTTATTTACCAGTAAGGTAGRGGAAGAAAATCCTATTGCCTGTGCTTTGTATTCTCTGTTGCACACTAAATCATTTCTGGGAGGTATTCATGATCTATAAAGCAGCAAGTAGTTTGGTCACAGCTATCTCTRGCACCATCTGTTTGACCACTTGAAAAAGTAACAGACTGCACAGAAGCTGAAAAMGAGACATGACTAGCATGAGTTTGGGAAAAACTGTGTCTAGATCCAAAATTAAATCAGCTATTCAAAATTTCATCACAGTGTGTCAGGCGTGCTGCAGTTACCCCCTGAACCTTCCCAGGCTGGTTTTCCCTTGCCTCTGGCAGACGTAGCTGTCTGCTTTTTCCACAGCCAAAATGTTTGCAGATAGTCTCATTAAMACAAAAGTTTCCAACAAAACCCAGAAAATTTAGCTCCTGAGATTGCCCGGCTGATTTTCACCCTAACAAACGAGGAGCAGAGGTTTTGGCCATATTCTGATATATGATAACCTATGTATCTGCTTTATTTTTCTGCACTGAATTATTTGTGACAACTGCGACAACTTTCATTCAAATTGTTAAAGAAAATATAAAGCAGTGCAGATAAAAAATTACTCTTGAGGTATGGAACACTAAAACTGGTGAATCCTAATAATTATGTTTGGATAAGAAGCTACTAACACATTTAATATAAGGTRTTTTCATAATTACAACTAATCTTACAAAAGCATTTACAAGGCATCTTTGATGTGGTATTTTTTCCTTGAAGTTATCATGATTTGTACAATACTCTAAAAAAAACCTTTTACCAATGAGTTATATATCTGTCTCATGCTTGATAGCTCCTAACAGCTATAACTACAAAGGAAAAGCCCATTTACCATTTTAAGCACTGGACTTAATTAACTTCTTTACATTATTAGGAACTTTCCCAATAGTCCAAGAATTATTAAAAGTTAATGAGAATGTTTCAGAAAGCTTCCTAACTAATAAAGGATTCTTTTGAACAAATTAATAATGTCTACAATTATACCACAAGTATTGAATATAAAAGCTTTGAATAAAAGCAATACCAATAAAAGAACAGAAAAAATCCTTGATAATATTTAGAATATAATTTATAATTTTAAAAAAGAAAACTTCCATCTATGTTGTTATACTGTTCCTTATTTCAATTTCTCATACATTTTTGCACATTCTCTTAATTTTCAAAATGAGTGAGAAACTAAACAAAACTTGAGATAAGTCTTAAGATATTTTTGATAGACTATTGCTTGTATGAGAAAAAACCCAGCCCTTCTCTGGCATTTCTCCATWGGATGCCTGAATTATTTTTTTTCTGTACGTTAACTGTTTGATGATCAAAACACTGAGAATGTTCCTGAATCAGCTCTGAAATAATAATTTTGCAACTGGAAGGAATTTTAAAAGAGGTGGCTGTCTCCTGTGGTTTTACTGATCAAACAGTATTTCAGATGATGGTGAAACCATTGGTGTTAAATGGCATCTGATATGAAACTGAAAATATTATAAAGAACCTCAGTTTGAATGGTTGGGAATAAAAACCAATACAAAATCAGCTATCCTGGACTTCTACTGCTCTTCCAGATTAGTTCAGAAGATATATATTGCACCTCCCCATGATCCCCAATCTCATCCTTAAAGTGCAGAGGGAATGTGCCAAACTTCCTCCTCACTCAGGTGTTCTAGAAGGGCAAAATGAATTAGAGCTCCTTCAGACTTCTGAGGAATAAACACCGCCTGTAAAAATTTTCTCATGATTCTTTCATGTGGCTGTAAACACTGCTATTATAAAAAAAAAAAAAAGAAAAAAAAAAAGGTGGGGACAGGAGGAAAAAGAGGAAGCAATCAATATTTATCATCAGTGTTGAGCAAGAATTCCTAAATTACATTACCATAAGACGATGCCTGCGAAGTTTTAGTGGTTTGAAATGCTTCCGGGAATACAAGTTAATAGCATCACTTATAGCTGTGAAGGCAAGAGCAACCCTGAAGATTGCTTCAGCAATTTAGAATGAGCAACAGAACCCCTCAAGTGCATTGCTGTTCATTAATAATAATGCCCACACAGCAGACAATTCTGTTTAAAGAATGGGCCTTTGTGACTTGGTCAGCAGGATTATGTTTAAAGTGATATCCTGAAAACAAAGCGAGAGCAAGCTTCTCCCTCACACATTGTGTGAGAAAAGAATTTGGCAGCTTACAACTACCCTCAGGAGACCATCCCAATGCAATCATCTCCTGTTTTATCTCAGCCTAGGAAAAAACYGCACAAATTGCATTCTATGAACTGCAGAAACAGCTACCACATGAATCACCATTTCTGTGGAAACCTCTCCCAGAAAGTGCCTTGTCTTGGCTGCAAATGGCCCCTGACAAATCCCTGCGGCTTYGTTTGTGGTCTCAGGCGCTGAGAGCATTCCCTTCAGGAGCAGCTCAGGCTCAGAGGATGCAGCAGGCTTGGGGAGCTGAGCTGTGGAGCGTGTCACCTCCAAGGGATGGGGACAGCAAAGGGATGGGGACAGCAATTTGTGTCCCCTGCAYGCTGAGGGACTGACTTCTGAAGCAACTTCGAGCAAGCAGTTGCAGGATGTCAAAAGTGAATCTTCAGAGAGCACAAAACTTACCTGAAAGAGCCTAACAACACAAATCTTTTCTAAACCCCTTTTCACATTTGGTTTTCAGAAACAACTGTATTAAGAAGTGGATTCTTAGCTGACCAGAAGGGCTTTTCAAACAGCTGTTGGATGTTACAGATCAGTAGTTTCTGTAAATATGTGGATTATCGTCAAGAAAAACTCTAGGAAATACCACACAGCACTCACAACACAGTATTTTAAACAGGTAACAAAAACTTATTAAGTTCCTTTCTGCATCTGCCAAGCAGTTYCTCCTCAAAATTATTGTACTTATTTACAACATCCTGAAAGAAATGCAACTGACACAAAAGTTTGAAACTGCATATAATGAAAATTGTTTGCAACTTACCTTGGAATTGTGTAAATTTGATGGTTCCCATCCTCTCTCCATTTCTGAAAACAACTTCACCCTAAATAAAACAAATAAACACCATAAGAGTTATATAAATCTCTTATAATATAGTTTCATAAACACTTTAATTTTCCATTAACTATTAAAATTACCAAAGCAATGTTTAAATTCTGAAGATAGCAGATTCAAATTCAAACTAAATTCAAAATAACTCAAGAATACCTCCTTAAAGCCTTCTTCCACAGAAAGTCGGCCAGTGTTACCACCCACTTTTCATGGATAGGAATAAAAGTACACTAAAGCCAGGAAGTTATTGAAATTCAGACGATGAGAGATATGCAAACAATTGATTTTGACTGTTGGTTTTTTTATCAAAGATATGTAAAACATTCAAAGATCACACAAGAAAATAGTTTTCCATTTCTTTCATCCATCATACAATTCTCCAAATGGCTCTATAAGCTATTTAACTTATATGGCTATCCTACTAGATTATGGATACTAGTAGCTCCTGTGGCTTGGTTTTGTACTATACCAATATGCGTGCCCTGGTATTCATTTTAATTGTCATGTCTTTTAGTACCACCRTTTGTGGTGCTACATGCTGTTACTTCTGAATATAATGGTCATGTAATGCTGAAACCTCCTCAAATATCCCTAGGAAATTACTCCCATCTTTCACCCCATCTTTCTGGATTAAATTAAGAAAATATCTTGTTGAATTTCCTCTTTAATTCAGCTATTTCATAATTGAGTATGAAAGAGGGTTTCATTCATTTATGATAAGTATTTTTAATATTTTGAACCTGTAGTGGAGAGCTGAGAGCTATCAAGATAGATTGTTGTGCTACTTCATCCCTGTTTTGGCTTATTAACACCATCWCCATAAATCTTTGTTTTGGCTGACATCAGAGTGAAAGAAACCAAATGGTGAACCTGTGATCTACATTTCTCTGTGTAAGCCTGTCACTTTTTGGATAATCCTTTCTGGTCACTGAAGGCCTCTGAAATACTGAAATCAGGTCCCTGCAGGAGCAGTACAACAGTTTTGTTGCACAGCACAATCACTCCCCCGTTTCCTGCAAGCCACAAAACACCACTCCCCTTCGATAAATAGAAGAACCCTTAAACAAGTGTGAACCACATAGTGCCAAGCTTTAAAAGCCAAAAGCCCCAATCTCCTGACTATTTTATGAAAAATAAGARAATTCCATTTGAAGTAAAAGGAGTGGTATAAATAGACAATAAAATGTAGAATTAAATTTTATAAACTACAGCAATGATAGAAAGAAATAAGCCAATCAGTGTTTCAGAAAGCATTTTTTTTTTAGGAATTACATGCTGATTTATGGTGTGAGAAGTGAACTATAATCTGATGACATTCTACAGCTCACGTAAAGCCATTTCTTTGCTACCAAGGTAACATACTACAAGATTTAGCCAGAGACTTGTCCTCTTTACAGTTGAGGTTCATAAATTAATAAAAGTATTTTTTCTCTATTTAAAGTAGCAGATGTTTGAATAATAGATATTACCAATATACACATTAATATGTGACATTACAAAAGCCAATCTTAGCAGCATTTCTTCCTTTCTTTTTATTGCACCACACACTCCAGCGCATGTGCCAGTGCAAACTGCAGTTTATGGTGTGACCCACCATAAAACCTAGACCTTATGAAATCCATGGGAATATAGCAACACACAAAATCCTCTTTTACTTTTCATTGTGGTCTGGTGACATTACATAGGCACACTTAGATACTTATTAGAAAAAGGATTGGTGATTGTATAGAATTAAAGAAAATAATGGATGTAAATACTAAATTTTCAGAACATAATCATCATATTCAAAAATTATTTCTTRATCAAGATAATATTTCATTTCAAGAGATGTAAAATAAGACATTGGTCCTGAACAAGCATTAAAATAAACTGCACAGATGAATAACTTGTACTTAGAACAAACTCCATATTTTAAATAGTTAATAAGCAAAGATTTCCTCTTCCATTACACAGATCATCCCACTGGAGACCAACAGAAACCACACCGGTATCTTCATGCCYATTTTATTTTCTTCAATCTACCATCTACAATTTTTTTGCTTTCTTTACTAGTCGTGAAAGTGAGTGCTAGAGTAAATACTGATCTGCCCAGCTGATCTGCCCAACTTAGAGCTGTGGACAGGCATCTTCACACTAGCAATGACTCTTGAAAAGTTGATGAGAAGGAAAAAGGAAGTTTGCAGATTGGAGTCCAACAAATAGTGATGTGAACAGAGGGCTGAAGAGGAGCTGAGTGAGCTCAGTCTGGCACAGTCTGGCACTCCTGGATGCTGCTGCCGGTGTGTACAGCCCCCATGGCACACAGCACCTCAATATTTTTCACCCAAATACATCCCAGTATTTGGGATTCATTGCAGCTGCATAACTCATCATGTAACCTTACACAGGTAGACTTTATTCAGTTTTCCTAAAGGTACAACCACGTGTAAGTACAAAAAATATCCATATTGCAAGTTAGGTGGCTTGGACAACAGAAATATTGAAGCTTATGTTGTAGGTTTTTTCTGGTTTTGTTTATGTTTGTTGGGCTTTTTTGTTTGCTTTTTGATACATCTCTGACCTCCTTCCCTTGTAATTGCTTGGTT